AAATAAAAGGCGGGCGTAAGAAGGGACCGGGGAGGAGCGACACGGAGCGACTGGCAGAGAGCGAGAGAAGAGAAAGAGAGACGGAGCGTGCCAGAGGTCGTGCGGGAGTGTCGGCAGAGGGGCGCTCGGGTGACGTCAACCCCGCCCCCTGCCATTCTGAGGTCCTCTTCTACCCCGTCTTTTCCAAACCCTCGCCTCCAGAGCCACGCCGCTCCTCACGGGGCCCACTCACGTCGTGCCACAACGGCCACTGGGGGCGCCACCCCCAAGACCAAGGAGGAACGCGACAGAGCCACAATATACAAAATGATGATAAGAGGCAAAGAGCCGCATTAATTTTGGCCGGGAGCCGCATGCGGCTCTAGAGCCGCGTGTTCGCCACCCCTGCCTTGTGGCTAAGAGCCACTGATGGACCTCTGCTCCATATGTTTCTCCAATTCCCTCTTGAAGCCGTCCATGCTTGTAGCCGCCACCACCTCCTGTGGCCGTGAATTCCATGTGTTCATCACTCTTTGGGTGAAGAAGGACTTCCTTTTATCTGTTCTAACCTGACTGCTCAGCAATTTCATGGAGTGCCCACGAGTTCTTGTATTGTGAGAAAGGGAGAAAAGTACTTCTTTCTCGACCTGCTCTATCCCACATCATGGGCAGCCACATCATGGGGAGAGGAGGGGGGGGACAAAATGATCTGGAGAGCATAAAAAGGTGCCCGCGAGAGTAGAAACTGTTGCTGTCCTCAACCAAAAGCCTGGCGGAACATCTCTGCCTTACAGGCCCTGTGGAATTGCATAAGACCCTGCAGGGCCCTAGTGGTGTTTGACAGAGAGTTCCACCTGGTCGAGGCCAGCGCTGAGAAAGCCCTGGCCCTGGTCGAGGACAGCCGGACATCTTTGGGGCTGGGGAGGGGACCACCAGCAGATTGCTACCTAGGGAGCATATCGCTCTCCCGGGGACATACCAAAGGAGATGGTCCCTCAGATACATTGGTCCCTGACTGCTCAAGGCCTTAAAGGTCTACACCAAACCTTTGAACTTGACTCGGAATTCTACTGGAAGCCAATGCAGCTGGCACAGCACAGGTTATATGTGTGCCATCCATGACGTTCCCATCAGGACCCGTGCCGCCACATTCTGGACCAGCTGAAGCTTCTGAGTTAGCCTCAAGGGCAGGCCAGCATAGAGCGAGTGGCAGTAATCTAGCCTGGAGGTGACCACTGTGTAGATTACCGTGGCTAGGTCAGGGCACGACAAGAAAGGGGCCAGTTGCCAGTCCTGATGGAGATGAAAAAAAACTCCAGCCTAGCAATATGCGTGACGTGACTTGGGCCTCCATAGTCAGGGAGGCATCCAAGATCATGCCCAAACTCTTGACGGACTGTGCCGGTGTCAATTGTACCCCGTCAAGAGTGGGAAGTCTACACCCCAGCCCGGAAGCCCCTCCCCAGCCACAGAATCTCCGTCTTAGTAAGATTCTGTCTCAGTCTGCTCTTTTTTAACCATTCCCACCACAGCCCCCAGACCTGTGGCCAGATTTTGGGGGGCGGCATCTGGGTGGCCGCCCAATAACAGATACAGCTGGGTGTCATTCTCCTTCCATTTTATCTTTACAACAACAACCCTGTGAAGTGGGTTAAAATGAACATAAGAACATAAGAGAAGCCCATGTTGGATCAGGCCCATGGCCCATCCAGTCCAACACTCTGTCACACACAGTGGCCAAAAATACCAGGGGCCATCAGGAGGTCTACCAGTGGGGCTATGCCCCAAGTGTGATTGGCCCCAAGCCACGCAGCAACCTCCCATGGCAGGGTAGGAATTCAAACCTGGGTCTCCCATATTCTAGTTCGACACAGACACAAGCAAGCTACAAAGGACAATCTATACACAGTCAGATTCAGTGTCAGCGTAGCCATGGCAATGAGTAATATAAGTACTTGTATGTGTCAGAGGAAAGGAACATGACTCATAAGGTAACCACCAATTTTCCTGGGCTAGCCCTTTCTATTGATTCCTGCTTGCTGCTGGTTTTTAGCCTTTCATAACCATGCTCAAGTCTCTTAGCCTGTAATTTTTTTTTACTCAATGAGCCATTTTTAACAGAAATACATAATTTTGCAATTCTGAACAATACGAACTCCATTCTGTGACTGGCAACAAATCTTTATATACAGAATTTTACAGCATTCTGTTCATTTTTGCCACAATCAGTGTCTCCAGAACAGAGACATCCTTGGAATGGAAAAGGGAATATTTCTAAGACAAAACTGGTAACAGGCAATTGGGGTGGGAACAACATTCTCTGGTATTAACGAAACCTTGAGAATGTATCTTGGAAAAGAAGCTTGTCTTTATTGGTATTACTTTTTTTGTTCTGCACGGACCTACAGTGGTCCAGAGGAAACAGACAAAAGTAGAGCAGATCAGTCATACTTAACTGATTTCCCTCTTGTCAACATATCTGTATCATCTAGTACAGAACATACTAAAAAATGGGCAGACCCAGCACAGAAATTCTTAAACAATCTAAAATGTCTGTTTTCAAATGATGAAAGCTGGGTATCTACAGAACGTGGAAGATTGTCTTCAAAGTTATGCTATGATGCCTAGTAAACAGCAACGCTATGAAATCCTTTGGATGATAAAAATAGAAACCTTTTGAAGCTGTTCTATCAAAAACCGTCAGTATACTGCTGAATGTGAACATAAGCCTTTTGAAACACTAAAGAGTACGGTTACCGTATATTTATTAAGGGAATACCATCACACAGGAAAAACAGATTCTAGCATAAATTTCATGCATTACAAATCTGGATACTTGCAAACAGTATGTACTTGATGAAGAGATAAGCTTCTAGGTGTTGATTATAATAATCTTGTACTTAGAGGGTCAAAAACTAGATATATGCTAGAAGACATACAGCTTTGATCGTTCTGTATATTATTTCCTTCCATAAGCACCCAGTTTGTGTTTGTAAGACACAGACACACTGTTTTAAGTTATGATATGCTTGTGGTTTTAGAAGACATAAAAACTAAGGCAACTGGACCATGACCTGCCCTCTGTCATCAGAATTTTGCCTCTTCTCTGTTACGATTCTCCTCTGCTTTCTGCCACACACATGATTCTCTGCTGTTTTTGCTTTTCGGAGAAGTGAATGAAACCACATTTTATCACTCAGAAACAGAAACATGCACCAGTATGATAAAACAGACCAGGGTAACAAGCAAACGAGATCTTACTAATCCTTACTGAGATCATGTCTCATAGGATAATTGCCTCTACAGGGCCACAACTCAAAAGCACGTTCTAATCAGTTTCACGCCTTTAACGTCACAGATTTTTGCACTGGAGAAAGCAAGAAACTTTCTTGCTAATAATTTGTAGCCAGAGGACATATGAATAAGGGGTCTGGGAAAGTTTTCACAGCTGCCCACAGAAACAGAAAAAAGATGAGTATTACATAAAACTTGAACTTCCAGTATTCGACTGAAAACTGCCATTGGCTATTATGATGTACGGACCTAGCATGAGGTCTCTCTGGTGAAACCCTTTGCATTGGAAAATAGAATGACAAGCAGTTCAATTTTATACCAGAACTAACTGTGATAACTACCTCCTCGGTGCCACTCCGTTAATTAGAGTGCTTAGAGCTGAGGCACGGCATCCTGGCAACCAATCAGTGCATTTTTTTGGCTGGGGAACAGGAGCAGGGTGATCCCATGATTCCTTGAGAGCAGAAAGGTGTATGGGAAGTAGACGCAGGACCGTAGACGGTGGCAAATCAGCCTGAACCAGCTTATGGACTACATCCGTCACTGTGGGCGTCTCAGTAGAGCCTGGACCTGCAGAGCAGTAGCCATCCTCGTTACAAGCTCCAAATAGCCTTTCGGACCTTCAATGGGCGATATAGAGCCCAAACGACTAGGCTCATCATCGATGTGCAGAACATCTGGATCAAGACCACCAGATTCTAAATGGTCTGATAAAGACAATGGAGAGGGTGATCGTAGTGGTCGAGACATGTCAGCAGGCGTCTGGTCATCAGGAAGCGGATGATACCGAGGTTCTAAGTGAGAACTCTTCGGGGCATCCATAGATCTCGAGAGCTCTGGAGGGTGATCAGGTACCAGAGAACAAGCTGATGCCACTGAATGAGAACATCGAGAGTACACAGCAACTTGTCTGCTTTCGGAACATTCAGAGTGTCGGAGTCAGTCATAACGATGCTGGGGAGGTGTAGGAAACCTGGAGTAAGAGCAGGGATAATACAGCCCTTGGTGGCGAACATCAGGAGACCACGACTGATCATCAGACTGTGATCCCAAAGGAGAAGGCGAGGGCTAGTGAATGCATCGCCGTCGGTCATAACGAGACCGAGATCTGGAGCGACCTCTCACAAGATGCTCCCTGCCTTCCAAATTGTGGCTAGACGAGAAGGAGACTAAGAGTCACAACGAGAGCAGAGCCGGCAAGGCGATCTCAAGGATTAGCCCAGAGGGATACGGCCGGAGGGCGAGGACAAAGTAGGCGGTGGCGTCGGAGGCTGAAGATTGGCCTTCTGAGGTACTGAAGACACCACAGGAGTCAAGGTCGATAGCCCAGAAATCAGTACGGGATCGAGCTTTGGTACCGAAATCGATATCAAAGACTTCTCTTTCAATTTTGACACCATTTTGTCGTCATGCTTTTTTGGCTTATGCTTCGACGGTTTGGGATTTTCCCTTTGCTTCTGGGGGAGCGAAGACTGAGAGGCAGCCAAAGACATTTTGGGACACAAAGCTGCTTCCAAAAGAATAGTACGAAGTCTGGCCGCTCTATTACGTCTGGCCTGACGGGTAAAGTTGGCACAATGGGGGCAAGAATCTACTCAATGCGCCTCACCCAAACACAAGAGACAAAGATCGTGACCATCGTTAGATGGGATTTTTGCCGGGCAACGAGGACACTTCTTTAAAAACTTTGTCTTTCCTATACAAACGCCATCCCACCCACCATAAGGGGGGGGGGACAACATGAGGGGGGGGGGGAAAGAGAGAACTCGAAGAGGTGGAAAAAATACTCACCTGAGGCAAATCGAAGAGCAGCACTAGTGAGGTGTGAACACGAAGGTGGTTAAAAAGGAACTGAGTGGGAGGCGGCTCTCTCCCCCACTCCAGGCATGTGCAGTGCATGCCTGCTCCTCAGGGTGGGAAGAGAGCCCGCCAAAAAGGTTCTGAGGCAAGCTCTGGAAGTTTCTCCAGTCGAGGTCGTGTGCAGGCGCCCAACCCATGTGTGGGACTGCACAGAGACCACGACGAAGATCTAAGGGGAGCCCATTCCTGCATTAGACGGATGAGAGGGAGACGGGCTCTCCTTCTGTCCTTCCAAGGGGCTCACAGTCCTTTGGAGTTCCCTTTGCAGACCCTCAGAGATCCCCAGACCCCAGTTTCCAATACAAAGCTTTAGCTAACATGCAATATACTTTTTACACTACTGACCGGATATCATCTTCCACTGCCTTTTATTTAGACTAGAGCACTGAGAAGCAATTACCATCTAGCAGTGTGGCCTGGTATTATTTACAACATTAAAGCAGAGAACAATTGGCAGGTAGAACAGTAAACAAGCAACAATCACTCTAGCAGGAATACTTCAAAGAAAGAACACCTTTCAGTCAAACTGCTTGGAGCTAGGTCGGGAAAACTGACAGACAGCTTTTACAAATACGGTATGTGCTAACTCTGATAGCAACAAACAGCAGGGGCTCCAGGTTCACAGACAGCAGACCACCAATTACCAGATGCTGAAGAAAAGTGGTTGGTTTTTGCCGTCAGGTCACAGCTGAGTTATGGTGCCCCCATGAGTGTTCAAGGCAAGAGACATTCAAAGGTGGTTTGCCACTGCCTACCTCCACGTCACGACCCGGGTATTCCCTGGAGGTCTCCCATCCAAATACTAGCCAGGGTCGACCCTGCTTAGCTTCTGAGATCTGACAAAATCAGACTAGCCTGGGCTATCCAGGTCACGGCTTGAAGAAAACAGGGCAACTCAATAAAACTCACACACAAGTCTGTGCTCATAACCAGTGGTGGAATGTTCCATTAAGTTGCAGCTAACTTACGGCGACCCGGTAAAGTTTTCAAGGCTAGAGATGAATAGAGGAGATTTGCCATTGCCTGTCTCTATGTAGCAACCATGGGTTTGCTTGGTGGCCTCCTAACCAAGTACTAACCAGAGTTTCCAAGTTCTGATAAGATTGGACCAGCTGTTCCCTCTAAGCTGTGGAGTCTTGTGAGCAAAAATTCTACTTTGTGAGCCACTGGAATTAAAGTTGTGAGCGAGCGGTTTGGCTGCTGCATAAATCAGTTTGCTTTGGAGCCATCCTTCCTGAGCTAAGACCAAAATGTGTGAGCCGGAGGATAAAAAACTGTGAGCTAGCTTACACTAACCCAGCTTAGAGGGAACACTGGCCCAGGACCACCCACATCGGAGCAGGTTCATAACTAGGGATATTCTATTGAGTGACAAACACACCAAGTAAAACTAGCAGGCACCGCAGAAGAGCAGATTCGCAACACAATCAGCTCTTTAAGTGAAACGTAATGTAACACAACTGCCGATTCACTTGGACGCATTCAGACATATAATAAGTGCTCTTCCCATCAGGTCTTGTTTGTGAACGTCCAGAGGCATCTAATTGGTCTCTGCTGGAAACAGAGTGCTGGGCACGGCAAAACAAATAGACGTTTATGATTTTTTTAATGCTAGTACAGTAGGACTGCAGAAATTAATTCAGAATATGCTGCCCAGATTGCATTTATACCGCATTCCACATAGCAAAGGCTAAGAGCCTACACGATGCAGCACAGAATGCAGGAAAGAGCTCAGTAACAGGATATGGTTTGACAACTGCCCATGAGAAACACGCTAACGTAGAGACAAGACGAACAAATTACCGTGGGCTCTGTGGGTCCGTCAAGAGAATGGAATTAACTCTATTACAAATATTACACATCCCCTGAAAAGTATATTCTACAAAAACCAGAAGTCATCTTACCATACTGTTGTTGAGATTCTTGTCAACCTTGCAGAATGTGTGCGGCGGGGTTTCTCCCTTGCTCGGGACAATTATGCAGATATCTGTTACAGCCAGAGTATTCGGAGTCATATTCTCCAAGGCCCTTCGGTATGTAATGTATACTTTTTGTGACGAGGCTCCACCACTGATATTTGCAGGGCGGCCGTATGGAGTAGACTGGATTATTTCGCAGCCCTGTTTTAATCGCTCTTTCACATCGTATAAAACCCTAAATGGAAGACAAATCCCAAAAGCATAAAGTAAGTACTTATGTATGTATATGCTGTCAAGTCGCAACTGATTTACTGACCCCAGCAAGGGGCTTTCAAAGGCAAATGAGAAGCAGAGGTGGTTTCCCAATGCCTTCCTCGGCAGACTCTTCCTTGGTGGTTCCGAGATCGAGCTATACCATACCACTCCACAACCCCAAAGAAAGTGTTTAGAAAGGTTAGCTGTTGTAGATTTTCTGGGTTGTATGGCCGTGGTCTTGGCATTGTAGGACCTGACGTTTCGCCAGTAGCTGTGACTGGCATCCTCAGAGGTCTAACACAGAAAGATAGTTTTTTTTCTTCTCACCTTGACAGAAAGAGTACTCCATCTTTCTGTGTTATACCTCTGAGGATGCCAGTCACAGCTACTGGCGAAACGTCAGGTCCTACGATGCCAAGACCACGGCCATACAACCCGGAAGATCTACAACAGCTAATGAACTCTGGTTGTGAAAGCCTTTGACAACATATTTAGAAAGGCATTAAGATTATAAGGAGGGACTGAAGGTACTTCTGTTGGTGTATGAAAAACAAAAAAAAGCTCCAGATTCTGCCAGGCTCTGCCCACAATCTAGCAAGCTCCACCTTGCCTCTGCTCTAGACTAGCCCGATTTCTTCAGGCATTGGTACCCAACCTGCTGGGCTATTCTCTGAATCTATCCCTGGAATTACTGAGTAAACATATAGTCAATATATATATATTTGAAATCAGTATATTGTTTAAAATCAGAAGCTGGGAACTCTACTCCCTACTTGCACCATTTGGAGTACTAAAAACTAGCACCAACAAAAACTACTCACCCCTTCACAGGTGTGGGGGGAAAATGTAAACATTACAAAAGCAATTTCATATAAGGAAAATATGTATAAGACGTTTTCTAGATGGTATATTACGCCTGATAAATTGGCTAAGTTTGACCCGAAATGCTCAAATGTATGTTGGAAGTGTCAAAATAGTTGGATCCTTTTATCATATGTGGTGGTTATGTGATAAAGCAGAAAAATATTGGGCCTGGATCCATGAAATTTTACAAAAAATCTTAAGATGAACTGTACCCTTTGTTCCAGAAATATTCTTGTTGAGTATCTTTCCTGAACTCTGTAAAAAAAATTAGTCTTATATTTCATTTGACTGCAACTGACAGAATACTCTACGCTAAATATTGATGAAGAACAGAAACGCCTTCGAGAGAAGACATTTTAAACAAAGTTTTGGAAACGGCGGAAACAGACAAACTAACTTTAACTCTGAAAGGACAACCAGAAACTACATTTGAAAATACATAGTCAAGATTTTATAACTGGTTTGAAGACTATGCTAAGTAAACAATATAGACACTTAAAACTTGTTAAGGATATATAAACTATAAACCTGATATATTTGCAAGTGATATTCTTAATGATATAGGGTGAAATACATATAAATGTATGATAAATTAGGCATGAGTTTGTCAAAGAAGAAACTGAAAGAAAAATCCCCCCCGTATGTTTGTTATGTTTATAAAATAAAACAAATTAACTACTCACCCCAGATCAGTAAGCGGGGGTTTCTCTCTTCCCCTCCTGTAGCAAAGGTATACAAGACTGCCATTGTTGAGGTCCGCAGACAGCCCTGATGGAGTGACGTCTATGCATCTGTATCCATGGGGTACCTCCTCCCCGAGAGATTTAACCACTACCACCACATCTGTGATGGGCTCTTTTGGTTTGGCCAGTTTATGACAAGCATCGTTGAAGTGGATTTCTTCCTCCAGTGGCTTGGAGTTATCGGTCAGTCCCGCCACAACAAAGTAGTCAGCAACACGAGCCCCTTTGTCTTCCATCTTCCATCCCAGAAAGCTCTAGCTGGCAAGGAATGGAGAATAATATAAGTAATCGAACGTAGTACACGGGGTGTGTCTCTTAGAAGCAGCAGCATCAAGAATACACTGAAGAAAGATTACATTTTCCTGTGATGAATTCGCCAGAGTTTTGTTCTCTGTAAAACAGACTTTTCTCGCCTTTTATCGCGAAATGAGAAGTCAAACGGGCTTCCCAGAACACCAGTTTCGTTAATACTATAAACAGGGATTTGCTGGTCTGCAAACAGCATGTTGATAGACAAGACAAGAAGAGAGCAAGCCCACCTCCCTTGCCACAAAAATGAGTTACCTTTGAAAATCAATGGTATGACTTCTCAAGAACTGGATACTTGGAAAGGACCGGTGTCTTCCTCATTACAGACTCACTCTTTATCCAACGTTAATTCAAACGAAAACCTATCCTTAACTATCTAATCAGCTTGTGCCCATGAAATGTAACACTGACATTTCTCCTGTGCCACAGTGCATTATATAAGCAGTCTGCTCTTTAGCAGTGTAAATGATGCAACACAGCTTAGTCATATGCACACTTCCCATTTCTACCCTCACCCCCCACCCCACACACCAAAGATGTTATTGGAACAATGGAGGGGGGGGGGAGAGAAGGACAATGAAGATAAAGACTATCTCATCATGAAATTCACAGAGCATATTAATGACCAAATACAGCCCGTCAGCTGAAAGGTAAAAAAGATTTTAGGGACACACCATGAAGGGGGGGGGGGAGAGAGAGAACGGGGGTAGTCTGAATATGAACTACCCATGTGTGAAGACAGTTTAGATATGGGATTTTTTTCTTCTTCAGAGAGCTGAAGGTGGTTTGAGAGAGACTTTGCTCCCTCTGGTGCACACATGTATCTTGTTATCTGTCGTATGTGGTCTAACGATCTTGTGGGCTCTAGTGACACCACAAAAACTGGAGCCTAGGTGTCAACAGAGATGATGAAGAAACAAAAGAAACAGGTGCGCACAGAACAGGACACGAGAGCATTATCACGACTGCCTTTGACCCTTGTCTTCAGACAAAAAGTTGAACGTAAAACTTTGTCCATTTTCACCTAGGCCTGTTTCCAGCCACAATCTTTTTAAATTAGCTGTTGTAGATTTTCCAGATTGTGTGGCCGCGGTCTTGGCATTGTAGGACCTGACGTTTCGCCAGTAGCTGTGACTGCCATCCTCAGAGGTATAACACAGAAAGATGGAATACTCTCTGTGTCAAGGTGAGACTCTCTGTGTCAATCTTTTTAAACATGAGATGAACTCCATCACAACAACTGTATAGAGTTTGAACCTACTCTTCAGGTTTTGGTTAGCACAATGGAATTCTTCAGGGTGCTAGGTCCTTCACAACTGCCAGCCCCCTTTCAAACCACTCTTTTTGTTTACACTGACCACTGTGGAATTAAATATTACAACTACACCCAAAAGATCACAGTCTAGAATTAGAAGTCTACATACATGCATGTTATGATTATTGTAAATACACACATACATGCACGTACGCACACACTGAGGCAAATGGATTCAGGCAGAGAGCCAGTGCGGTGTAGTGATTACACTGTCTGACTAGTATCTGGAAGACCCAGAATCCCCACTCTGCCGTGGAAGCCGGATGGGTGGCCACGGGCCAAGCACAAGCACTCAGCCTCACAAGACCGTTGTGAGGAAAAAACGGAGGAGCGAAGAATGACGTAAACTGCTTTGGGTCCCACTGGGGAGAAAGGCGGTAATAAACGAAGTTAATGTCCCTTATAAATAAAAGCCGAATGGTGGTGGCACTTCTCTAGAACATTCCACACGCTCCAAAATCAGTTCGATTTCTGATCTGTCATTCAAAGGATCTCCCTATCCACTGGCTGCTTTGCCTGAGTCCTGCCTCCAACATTCTAAACAGTTTGCTGTTCCTCTCCCCCCCCATAGCCAGTCAGAACACAGAGGTTATTTGCATATGCAGCCTCATTGGCCTTTGCCTTGGAACACAGAGGTCGTTTGCATATGCGACTTGATTGGCTTTGCCTCTAACATTCTAAACAGTTTGCTCTTCTGAGCCCGTTCGCGGGGAGGGCGGGTTATAAATTTAAATAAATAAATAAATAAATAAATAAATAAATAAAATGTGTCCAATCTAAATAAATAAATAAATAAAAGAGGCTGCAGGTGTGTGGGGGGTGGAAAGCTGAAGAGTGAGGGAGAAATAAAGGTAGGTTGATGATTGGCTGGGAAGGAGATAGGGTTGCCAACTCGCAGATGGGAAATTCCTGGAGATGTGAGGGATGGAGCCTGGAGAGGGTGAGGTTTCAGGAGGCGTGGGACCTTGGACAGGTACAAAGCCATAGACTCCACCCTCCAAACCAACTATTCCCTTCTGGGGAACCATCGTTGCCAATCTCCAGGTGAGGGCTGGAGATCACTCAAAATTACAACTGTTCCTTAGGTAGCAGAGATCAGTTCCTCTGGAGAAAATGGTGGACTCAGTGTCATTATACCCTGCTGAAGTTGCCACAGCAAATTGACACTGAGTGTCCAAGGCCGGAGCACCCGCCCAGAGCCTCTTTCTAGAGGCCGTTGTATTTATTTCCACAACGGGCCTTTTTCCTAGTAAATACATAAATAATAGCATACAAGGCTCATTCACTTTTCAAAAATTTTACCTGAATATTGGAATAATATTATTAAGACACAAGTACATTGCATAATGCTACTTCACCGCTTTGTCAAAGTTTTATAGAGCATTACCAAAGTCTTTTGTAAAACGGCACCTCGTTCTCCTATTGATTTATTCTGCAGTTATTAATAGTTACATTTGCTCCTGAAGAAGGTATTTGCCAGAACGTATTACTGAGTATATTTGAACCAATAAATTCTCCCTCAGGCATCGTTTGAGATTCACCTTTCTTTTTTGATTCTTTTGCGCTGAGGATCCTTCAGTGGGCACATGAAGAAGAGACTCGATTTATACCCCGCCCTTCACTACCCAAAGGAGTCTCAGAGTGACTTACAAACTCCTTTCCCTCCCCCTCCCCACAACAGACACCCTGTGAGGTAGGTGGGGCTGAGAGAGCTCTGAGAGAGCTGCTCTTGAGAGAACAGCTTTGAAAGAACTTGTGACTGACCCAAGGTCACACCAGCAGCTGCGAGTGGAGGAGCGGGATTTACCAAGAGTACACTTCTGAGGGGCAACTAACAGAAGACAGAAAGCAACTCTTTTTAAAAAAAACAAAACACAAAAAAGCACATTCCCACCATTCACTGATTTGGGCAACGTCAAAGCCTGCCTCTTAAAACCATCCTGTTCTCTTCACGGGAAGCTTCCTTCCCTTTCATGACATCCCGAGCGTCACTAACCCCAAAAAGAGAAATATCGTTTGCTTAGTCATAGCATTTAAGATTGCATTAGTTTGCCGCCTATCTTCTTTCCGGTTCAAGTCCGCCCAAGGATTCATATGCTACACTCTTCTTATAATGGAAGCAGTTTATCAATAATTGGCAATGCATTCGTTTGACAGCAATTCCGCACAAGCATACAGAAGCTGCAGGATTTGTTTTGGCCAAGACAATACAGATTCCTGATAAAAAGCTTTCATTTAGAAAGCATTAGGCAATGAGAGAGGTCTAAAGTCTGGAGGCACAAGGAGACTCCAAGAGGATTTCCAGTGGGCAGGAATGACATTCCAGTCCTATACAAAAGTCCCTACCCAGCTCACGACGACGGGTCAGAAGCCTACAGCTCTTATATCCTGTTGGCATACCATTATGCTTTTTCCTAGCTCTGCATCTGAGAATTGCTAGAGGTGCCTAAAATATTTCACAGAACTACAGTTCCCAAGGCTCTCTGGGGAGAGAGAGAATGACAGTTAAACCTGCTCAAATCTGTGTGTACATATGCCAAAAGAGAAAAAAAATTGCCACAGATTCACAGCATACTGAAGGGAAGGCCAACAAGAAGCAAAAGGCTGATAGACTTTCAGTGCAATCAGCGCAATCCTAAGCAAGTCTGCTAAGAATCCTACTGAATGGGGCAAAGGTTGGGTCCAGTGGCATCTTTAAGACCAACGAAGTTTAATTCAGGGTATAAGCTTTCATGAGCATGCACACTTCTTCAGATACATTGGAAACAAGACTTCCTCTACCGTTACATAAAGGTGGTGGTGAGGTTTAGTTGCCAGGAAAGCCTAGTTAGGGTCAAGATGCATAAGTCACTGAGCAATACGTGCAGCAAAAGATTGGAATTACACTTTTGGTAAGACCTGTGAATAGCAGCAAATTAGCATACGGATAACTGAGCAAACTTCAGAGGACAGCGGAAGACAGGAGGGCCTGGCGGGATCTAGTCCATGGGGTCGCGAAGAGTCGGACTCGACTGTGCGACTGAACAACAAAAAATAAAGGCATTAACAACAGATGTGAGAACTAAGTCTGAGTCCGGCTGAGTTTGAAGACGTGTGCGTGCACACGAAAGTTTATATATCCAGAATTGAACTTTGCTGGTCTTAAGGATGCCACCGGACTCAACCTTCGTTCTGTTTGTTCTGCTGCTTCAGACAAACACGGCTACCCAACTGAACCTACCGAAAGGAGATTACTTTCGGGAAAGTGCTCTTAGAATGCACTGTACGTCTGCCAACATAAGAGCACTTATAACCAATGGTTGTTGTTGTTGTTCAGTCGCACAGTCGAGTCCGACTCTTCGCGACCCCATGGACCAGCTCCCGCCAGGCCCTCCTGTCTTCCGCCGTCCTCTGAAGTTGCCTCAATTTCATGTTCGTTGCATCGATGACACTGTCTAACCATCTCATCCTTTGCCGTCCCCGTCTTCTTTGACCTTAAATCTAGTACCAATGGTGGTACTATATTAAAGTAAAGGTAAAGGTTCCCTTGCTCGAAAGCCAGTCGAATCCGACTCTAGGGTTGCGGTGCTCATCTCCGTTTCAAAGCCGAAGAGCCAGCGCTGTCCGAAGACT